AAATGAAGTTCCCCCTAACAATGTTATCTCAGGAGATTCATCGAAACCAAGTTTCTCTTCGTATCTACAGCTTACTTCCATTTCGAGTGAAAGTGTTGCGTGGACAGATTCGAAAGTCGGTTCCACCGGAAGTAGGTTTAACAATTTTTCCACAAACTCTCAGTTTTCGGCAATTGCACCTACTTTTAAGCTGGTCAAACGAAAACGTGGCAATTCAGTTGACTTTCAGATCGAGTGGAAGAGTTTGATGAAGCGATTCGAAAGAGGAAGCAAACAGAAGACGAATACCAGCGGAATCCTCTTGAATAGTCGCCGTTCGGCTGATCTGGAATAATATTGTTTTGGGGCAATCTTCTTCAATTTCGGTGAAAACATGCTAAGCTTTTATGAAGAAAAACAGGGTTTCTAAGAATTCCTCGATGAAATATTGTGAAAGGACTCTCCATCGCGAAGGAAAAATTGGTTGGAAAAAATTCTTGAGGATTGCCGGTTAGGGAAGACTACTGAATTGGGCCGAGTAGTCACCGGCCTACCGTCCGATGAAACTGTTTTAAGCTTTCTTCTGACATCATTTGATCAGGCTGCTACCGGGTCTTGTGTTCATGTGGTAAGGTTTATGTGGGGGAGACCTGCAGACCCATTCACAAGAGACTATATACCAACACAAAACCGCCTGGAATGGTCTGTGAGTCGAGAAAGCTGAGCTCGCTGAACACATTTTGGCAATACAGGACACTCAATAGACTCAATAGACGTTTTCCGAGTTACGCGGACTTGACATCAAAACGTATGATTAGCGATTGTATGGAAATGAACATAACAACCAACGTCCTGAATAGAAACGAATGTAGAAAAGAAAATAGCAACTTTTTGTGGCTGTTGGATAGACTTAAGGAAAGGGAGAGAGAGCAGGAGGCTGGAGGATTAGCTTCGAGTCTGACTGGGACTATCACACCTTCCATCACATGAGCATTACATACACACAAAAGACAGTAGCACAAGCGCGAACATGAGTCAACATTCGACGAGCATAGGCCAGTTTTGTATAAAGAAATAGTTGCCAGCGCACGCACATCCGGTTCGGGAAGTAACTTCACCCATTTGCAAGCATGTAGCGCAAGGTCGAAGTAGACAACCAAATCATGGGATGCTTTTAAAGAAGCGACTACGCTTGTTCTATTTCGTGAAGTAGGCATAACCGGCTCTGATGATGTCTGTCACGGTGGTACAGACGAAAGATTGGCTCGCAATCCTCCTTCGGTTTCCGGTGAGACCACATCACGAATTCCTTCCAACCAACTTTCCCTTCGAAATGGAGAACCGTGCCACATTCTTCTGAACCTAGTTTTTCTGCATATCTTCGTAAGAATGATACCCCGTTCTGGTGATGTACGTCATACGACGAAGCAGATTGCCTAGGAAACAGCGTCAACAAAAGGGCTCCAGTAGAGCCAATCGACAGCTGGTCAGGAAGAATACATCTTCGGGTCTCTGATGCTGTCTGTCACGGTGGTACAGACACACAGTTTCCTCGGGCTGGCAGGACGGTGAGCCGGTGACTACTCGGCCCAATTCAGTAGTCTTGCCTACGCGGCAATCCTCACGAATTGTTTCCAACCAATTGTCCCTTCGAGATGGAGAGCCATGACACAAAAGGGCGAAACTTTTGTTGATATGAAGCGAAACTGGGTTTCGACGAATCTGCTGATATGCGAGATTCGTAGGTCGAGCTCACCAGAAGTGGACGAATGAATCGCGCTGCTCACGTCGACGCAGTCCCTCGTTTCGGGTGAAAACGGACTGAGCTTTTGTCCAGCATTCGATGGTTCTCATTCCCGAAAAAGTGTCACGTTAACGCTCGGTACAGAAGACTATCCGGCTCTGTCTTACCTCTTAAATTGACTCAATTAAGGAAACGAAAATAAAAAACCTACACAGATATACAGTCGTTTGGCTCATTATCTTTCATACTGGCCCTGCTACTTTTGCTCGAATGTGTGTGTGTGTGTGTGTTGGCATCGTATGACAGGCATCTTTACAATCATATCGATGCTAATTATTCAAGAAAACTTATCTCTCAATGCTTTATGCATACCTTACATGTAAGCTTTTTGATGCGATCTAAAACGATTTGGTTAATTCAGCAATATGCCAATCTCTAAACATGTGCGTGTGTCTGTCTGTGCGTGTTTGTGTTTTCGTGTGTTTGTATATTTAGCAAACCAGCTGCGATGGCTGAAAGTAATTAGAGCAAATACGTAACGTCTAGTCTCATTCATCAAGATTTAATGACGGTCATCAGACCTGTATATTTATTTATTTATTTATTTTATAATTTTTTGATCATTGCTTATATTTTCAGGCGTAAAACGCATGGTTATGCTGATGAGCTTTTAGCCGTCATGTGAAATAGCAAGAGTGCACTAAAGAGTACAGTAAAGTGATCCTGATTAGAGCCAAGACTAAATACTTTCAATACTACTTATTTGCAATACTTTAATACTACTTTCAAATACTAAAAGACTTTCACAAGACATAAAAGTGAGTGCCACCCTTTTGAATCAAGAGACAATCCGCCCATTTAAGTTCGACAATTGTTGCCGACTCGGTGGAATCACATGAAATCGGTGACCCCTTATGACCCCAGCAACTTTCATTACTACTTATTTGCAATACTTTAATACTACTTTCAAATACTAAAAGACTTTCACTAGACATAAAAGTGATTGCCACTCTTTTGAATCAAGAGACAATCCGCCCATTTTGGTTCGACAATTGTGGCCGACTCGGTGGAATCACATGAAATCGGTGACCCCATATGACCCCAGCAACACTTCAGGCAGCAGTCATGCCAACTACTGACTCGAGGGTGGCCGAATGGCTCCGAATTTGATTGTAACGCAGTCAACTGATAAAAATGTTGTCGGTTTACATTGTTTATGCTGTCTTTAGCTAAAATTGGGCTCTCAATTGTAACTTTGGATTTTGGGCGCAACTTGTCATTCACGAGCCACGATGCATCCAGCGTCGTGACAGACCTCCTCAGAGCATGAAGCCCTGCCTCATGCGGATTCACAGAACATCTTTTGTGTGTTTAGTCAAGCCGACTCGCCAGCTCTGACGGTAGACACATCGACACAACACAACTCAACACCCACAACCCCGGGACGATCCTTCTTCGGTTTCTGGTGCGGCCAATTGCCAAATCCACACGGAGGCCCTCGGCACAATCCACATTTCATTCATATCTTAATTTCAGACAAACCATCAATCTCGCAGTCCGTACACATTCACCCATCAACGTCTGTCTGTTGATATGCACGCCTGTATGACTAAGTGTACGTGAGTTTGCATGAAAGCAAGTATGTTTGTGTGTAAGTGTGAATGTATATCGTACGCCTGTATGCATGCACGTGAGCATGTGATTTTGTTTGAATGTAT